TTGCTTCTGCAGTGATACAGATTCAATTCTGCCGTGTAATGGCAACGTAGATTAGATATGGTATTGGATTCAACCATTTGTGAAATTGCTTAATAAAAATACTTTTGGTTAAAGGAGTGAAGTATCTTAATTTAGTTGTGATTTGATTTCCAAATTTTGCAAAATTTATTAGTGAATTTAGTATATGTTGTTCATTTTCTTAAACCTAGCTTGATTCCTTTAATTTACCGCAACTTTGAAATGCCACCTTGGAATTAGTTCTCCAAATAACTTGCCATTTTTCATGAAGCAATGCACCACAGCAAGCTTCACTTTTAGTTCAAAAAAACATTCAAAACAGTTTTAATAATTTTCACTTTACAGTTAGAAAATGTTAACAGGGATGATATGCAGTAATTACTGATACCTCTGGTTTCAGGGAAAATACTTTTTGCTACATAATTTTGTCATACACAGGCATCTCAAAGACATCATTTTATAAAATATACAAATAGTTGCAAAGACAAAGGTGTGAATTTTACTACAAGCCCACAGTCCCACAGTAACAGAAGCAGCAACCTCTTCTGCTTGGGTAGGGATTTACTCATTGCATGCAATGTTCTGGAGCTGGACAATTCACAGTCAGTAGGTATAATGGAGAAGAGGCAGTATCAGATTAAACTGCCATATAAGGACTGACAGCTCTCGTTATAATTGGATATTAGTTCTGAAGCAGGGTCACTAAACTTGAAATATTAACTCCGTTTTCTCTCTAATGATTCTGCCAGACCTGCTGAGTTTCTCCAGAAATTTCTGTTTTTGCTTGTCTCCTGGGCTGCCAGGAAAATTTAAAATAGGAAGGAAAGTAGTAGAGAGAATGGCAGAAAGTAAATTTTGGATGGCCGCACAACACAGAAATATCTCCCAGCAGATTCTCCTCTATGCAAGGACGAGAGTTCCTCTTTCCCCCCACCCCCCATCCCCCCCTCCCCACCAGTTCAACTGACAGAGCCTGTACAGAGATTACAGAGGAGGTCAGCAACTTGGGGATACCTCCAGAAACTGAATGTAACACTACAAGTACATCAATTACCTCATTCCATCTATCCGGGTGGACAATCCATTCCATGTTTTCCCTTTGCACCGTGCATGTGGAAGCACAAGAGGATAAGTTTGATGGTAAGGGAGTGACCACTCAATCAGCGGCAATAGGGTCTGGCAAGAAACATCACTGGATCTCAATGAGAGGCACCTATCTGTGATTGATGACTCCAGCAAGGTCCCTTGAGAACAATCTCACACAGGAGACATTTGTGTTCCCCTCTCATGGACTACTGGGCTGCACTAGCATATGCATTGTGCTTGTCTTCATGGGGTTGATAAGTGTTCATCTTTCTGCTGAAAGCAGAAAATATCTCTTAAAAGGAATGGGCCAAGACCAGCAGAGAGGTTCTGTCCCTGACAACAATAGAAATTGCTGGAAAAGCTCAGCAGGCCTGGCAGCATCTGTGGAGAGAAGTCAGTGTTAATGTTTTGGGTCAAATGACCCTTCCTCAGACTCTGTTCTTAGCCATCCTTATCCCCATGAGGTGACGTTGAATCTGGTAGGGCAGGGTGATGGCCACTCCATAACAGATGGAGTTCAGGAATGTAGGCACAAGACTGAGGGATGGTCTCATGTAGGCCTTTAAGATTATGAAAGGGTTTGCTAGGGTAGAACCAGAGATGTTGTTTCAGAATTAGTGGTCACAAATGAAAGATTGTCACCTACAAATCCAATTGGGAATTCAGGAGAATTTGGGTTTGGGTTCTTTACCCAAAGACTGATTAGAATTTAGAAGGCTCCCACACGGAGTAGTTATTTAGAAAAAAAGTCAATGAATTTAAAGGAAATCTATATCAATGAACAAGGGACTAGGAATGGAAGAATACATTAATAAGGTGAAATGAAAAAGGTTAGATGCATTCCTGTGTGGACCATAAACAACTGCACAGACCTGTCTGTTAATGCCATGTAGGACTGTGTAAGTTGATGATAGTTACATTTAAGTTCCACGTCTGGTTGAATGAGACATTTTGATAGTTCTACATAGATTGATTTAAATAATTAGTTTATGAAAATAATTAGTTACTGAAATAACTCTGCAGAGGCCGGTATCCTGTCACCAAGTCACCCTTTATTTAAACATACATTGTACTTGACACTGGTCCGGCTCATAGAGTCATAGAGTCATACAGCATAGAAACAGACCCTTTGGTCCAACTCATCCACGCTGACCAGACATCCTAATCTGATCTAGTCCCACTTACCAGCATTTGGTCCATATTCCTTCCTATTCATGTACCCATCCAGATGCCTTTTAAATGTTGTAATTGTACTTGCTTCCATGACTTCCTCTGCCATCTCATTTCATACATGTACTACCCTTTGCGTGAAAAAGTTATCCCTCAGGTCCCTTTTAAATCTTTCCTTTCTCCTCTTAAATCCATGCATTCTAGTTTTGAACTGCCCCACCTAGGAAAATGGTCTTGACTCTTCCCTTTATACATGCCCTTCATGATTTTATAAACCTCTATAAGGTCACCCTTCAGCCTCCGACACTCCAGGCAAAAGGTCCCAGCGTATTCAGGCTCTTCCGATAGCTCAAGCAGAACGTGTGATTCTCCTGTTTATATCTGTCAGCCAGGGCTCCCTGCTTGAACCATATTAACAGCCCCAATCAGGGATCTCATATTCTACGAGGTCCACTTGACTGATCTTGTTACAGTCACAAATCCCTCCCCTTCTAAGTCTGGGGACCTAGGCCTGTTCTTGTAGCTTCTCCTGGGTGTTATTGCACCGGTCTAGTTCCTTCGACTCAGCCTTGGATATGGGCGGCATGTACCAGACTGTAGCCCACACTTTGTGTCCGAAGTGTCTCACAAAAAATTCATCCTCTTCTTCAGGCGGTAAAGGTGTTGAGTTTGTGACATGCACCACGTTCATCTCAGACTCCGAAGTTTCTTCAATGCCAAATAGTGAGGGGAGAACCCACAGATTCTGACAGCCTTTCCAACTGTTCTAAGGGGTTAGGTGTGTTTTGTACCTGCCCTGCATGTGAATTTGCTGCTTTCATGTGGTCCATTTGTTTGTTTAGGACTGCCTCACATGCCCTGGCTTTTTATGTCATGGTACCTGACCTCGTGTCGACTGTGGTTTTGGCACAAACATTTTCCCCTGTCTCTTTCACTTCAAGGAGTCTTATGTCCGGCATTGGTGTTCCTGATGCTGTTTGAGTCCTTCTGTTTCGGATATGTCCTGAGTGAGGCTATATATTTGGCTTTAATTAAGTGATGTACCCCAAGCTCAGTTGGCCTGGTGAGGGTGTCCATTTTCATAAGCATACCTTGTAGCTCATATGCTGCACTTGCTGCATTTTCTAATCACAAAGTCAGTTGTAGTACCTGTTTCAAGTCCAGTTGGGCTTCAGCTAGTAGATGCTTTTGCATGGTTACACCATTAATCCCACACACAAAATGGTGTCTCAGCATCTCATTAAGGGTTAAACCAAAATCACATGTGTCTGCCAAACGTCTTAACCTTATCAAAAATCCCAATACAGATTCCCCTGGTTCTTGAACTACTGAGTAAAACCTATAGCGTCTCAGAAGTAGAAGATGTTTGGGGTCATAATATTCCTTAAGTAAATCTGCCAGCTCTTGAAAGGTTTCAGTATCTGGAAACGTTAGGCTCCTAATATGAAAAAGCTGTATGTCCATAAGCCGTCAGGAGAATTACTCATTGTTTTTCATCTGCCCCAATGCGTTTTTGCCTTGAAAGAAAATACATTCTTTCCACATATTGGGCCCTGTCTTCAAAGGCAGGATTGAATGATTCAAGCTTCCCAAATAATGCCATGATGCCAGAAATGCTTACTCCAACTCAAAGACGATTATTGCAAGTGAATTTCTTCCGGAGTGTATTTTTTTCTCTCGTTGCCACTGAAATACCTCCACAGAGGCTGGTATCCCGTCACCAAGTCACGCTTTATTTACACACGCATAGTACTTGACACTGGTCTGGTTTCCTCAGAGCCACCTCTCAAAGTCAGCATAACTTTTGACACTCCTGTTCATATCTGTCAGCCAGGGCTACCTGATTGAATCTGGTTAACAGCCCCAATCAGGGAACACATTCTGTGAAGTTCACCTGGCTGACCTTGTTACAATTATTACTGTTACTTTTAGAAACAAACCTACAAAGGCAGCATCTCCATTCATATGCCTCCCGTCAGCCAGGAGGCAGGAATCTATAATCACACCTCTGAGCTCCTGGCATGATAACCATAGCCCCATAGAAAGTGTGCATAAAAAAGTATGTACATTTTTGTAATGAGTTAATGGAATAAAATGTCTCAAGGTGCATCATAAAAGCACTATCAGATTACATGTTGCGGTGAGCCACATAGGGCAGTATTAGGAAAGATGACCAAATTTTATGGTCACCATTGCAGTAACTCAAACTGCTTTAGCCTCTACTACATTTTAACCTACAGTTTATTAAAGATATTAATAACATCACTTGTAAATCACCCTGGGTTTACATGACAACTTGCCCAGGGACACAAATTTCACATTCATCTCAAACTCTGAGTGGAGTTACTTTCATTTTGCTTTAGAGATTGCTCAATATTTGTCACTGTTATGGCAAATTAGAACTATTTAAATCAATAAATTAAAGCAGAAATCCAATCTCTTATTATTCATCTTCTTTGTTATACAACTTCATTATCCATCTGTGGAAAGACTGGTTTCAACCATTCTTGGGACACTTATGAAGCTGGCAAGGAATACAGAACTATGAAGCAGAAAAGTATCGATAGACAGCAAATGTACCAATGAATAACCTGTCACGACTGATGTTTTCTCCACTTTAAGATACTCGAATTCAAAAATCAAACTTCAGTTCCTTGGAGACATACCAGAAATGGTCTCATTAGATGCTCTCGTTTATGACAATACACCTATAACAATGCACTCACCTGGTCGCTCCCAAGAATTCTGAAGTGATGCACTTCCTTAATCAGTGAGTCTGGGCAGCCAGCTGTTAAATAATACAAAAGAAAATAAGGTTACAATGTGTAATGTTTTTATTGTCCTCAATAAGAGCTGCTTAATACTAACAGTAATAAAGAAAGGACATTGCCTGTTTCCTGTCTGATGGCCACACCTAGCAAAGCATAGTACAAATTACAATCTGGGCCTTATTGAACTACCGACTAATGCACTCTAATTGTTTATCATTCCTATTGCAATCTAACTATTTTACACCCAGCACAGGTAACTTGAACTGTTGTGATTTTTTTTTTCAAAAACTATACGATTAGTTTCCAAATTACTTCTAGGTTTTCAGTATTCAATATCTTTTACCTTGAAATATTACGTGTTTCAAATTAATTAATTGCACAATCAGCATGCATTCCTCAGGACAGTTTTGTTGGTCCTTCATTGTGTCAACAATAGTCTTCTGTCCATTGCAAGGCTGTTCACTGACGATCATTTGACACATAGGTAGCATGGGTGACACTTCATTATAAAGATGTTCTTATATTTGTAAATATACATATTTATGATGATGCAGCCTGGCCCTTAATGCCATCGCAACAAGGTAAATTGTTTCTTTAAATCCTTCAAATGTATGGATTCTCTTTCTTGATTCTAAGTGTGTGTATAGTCTTCAAGGTTGTTCTCTAATCACTGAGTCTCAGAATTGTTATAGCACAAAAGGAGGTCATTCAGTCCATTATGCTGCATTGGCTCTTCCAATGAACATCATCACCGAGTGCCAATCTCCTGCTTTCTCCCCATACAGATATTTTTCTAATCAACCTGTTCAGAGATGTTATTGCACACTTCTAGAGCAGGTGGGACTTGAAAAAGGCCTCCTGGCCCGGAGGTAGGAACATTACCACTGTGCCACAGAAGCCTTACACATTATTTCTATCCAAATAGTCTTTTTCTATCCAAATACCTTTTTGAATGCCTTTTGAACAACACTTGCATGCAGTGCATTTGATACCCTAATTACTTTCTGTGTAAATAAGTTATTTTTTCTCACATCACCCTTTCTTCTTTTGCACATCACTTCAAACATCACTTCATTTCTCTTAACATCGCTTCTCCATCATTGAAGAATTGGCCCCAACTAGCTTATCAAAGTTACAGCCAACCCATGGGGATTTGAACTCAGCTGTTTTGCTCTTCTACAGTTCGTGTCCGATAATTAATGTATCCGATTGGGATGCTGGTCAACACAGATGTGTTGGGCCAAACAGTCTGTTTCCGTGCTGTATGACCCTATGACTGTATCTGCCTGGCTCAGTGGTGAAATTCTTCTCTCTGCGTCAGAGTGTCATCAATTTGAGACCCCCTCTGGTGCAGCTCTGAACAGCACCGAGGGAAAAATTGTTGCAATAGCGCTGACAGCTGATGCTCTGGCAAATTTACATAGACTACGTACTGACGCTAGGAAATTTACATTGTCGGTGCAGTATCACTTTGAAGTGATGCTACACAAACAAATGTTACCTCATTTTTGATAGAACTAAATGCCAGTCCATCCACTAATGTGTACATAAAAGGCCCCATGGTATTCTTCAAGGAGTAACAGGAGAGTTTTATCAGTGTGCAGGCCACCCTTTATCCTTTAACTGCACCAGCACAGAAGATGATAAAAGATTATCTAGGCAGTTATTTCATTGCTGCATACGTGAACCTTTTGTTCCTTTCTCCTTTGTCTGCAAAACAGTTAGAACTCCACATCAAAATTAGATCATTCGCTTCAAAACACTTCAGTACATCCACATCATGTGAAAACTACAATGTAAATACAAGTCCTTCTCTTCAGCAGGCAGCAGGCATGTTCATGTAAAAAAATCTGATACAGGTATACCCAGAGCAATTTATATATTATACATAACGTTGTGCTGCTTTATATCTCTGTTCCTGTGCCAGTAAGAAATGATTGGGGGAATACTGGTACATAAAATAATTAAAAGTTTCTAAAATAAAATTCTTTCCTGGTTCTAACCGAGGGAGCTTCCTCTTTCAACTTATGCTAGTTGTTTTTCCATACCCCAGTGAGAAGATACTGATATATGAAGTCAGCCTTTCAGCCTGTCTGTAATTTGATAAGAGTATGGCTGATCTGATTGTGGCCTCTATTTTCCTGTCCACCCTCTACGCACATTGATTTTCTTGTTGATCAATAATCTATCTACTGTAATCTCAAAAATATTCAATGATCCTGACTCCACTGCTCTCGAGGGAAGAGAAACCACAGATCAGTTACCCTCTGAGAGATAAAAAAAAACCTCTACTCATTCCATCTTAAATGGGAGACTGGTTATTTTAACTGTGTCCTGTGGTTCCAGTCTCTCGAAGGAATCAGATGCATAATCCTTCTTTCCAGTACTTCTTATGCAATTACATGCTTTCCTGAATAAGATCACAACTGTACATGGTGCTCCAGATGTGGCCCCACCAATGCTGCATACAAGCTGTAGCAAAACATTCCTACTTTTATTCACCTTGGAATAAGCAACATTTCATCTGCCCTCTTTTTTACTTGATGCACCTGTATATTACATTTTTGTGATTCATGTACCAAGAAATCCAGATTCCTCTGTACTTCACAATTCTGCAATACTTTCTCTAGACCATGGGTTCTTATTTTGTGTATCATATGGCAACATCCTCCATTCTTCTAACCAAAAGTTTGCCCTTAAAAAATTAAACTGACTTAAAATAACATTGCACTTGACTATTTTAGCACACAGCAGTAAATTTACAGGTATCTGAAACGTATCAGCTATCTCCTTATCTGTCTTTAAATGGGTATACCTTAAAATGCTCTCAATCATAATCTAACTCTACAGGATATGATGCATAAGCCCGACCACTTGTTAGGCAGTCAGAAGAATGTCAAGAGATCTTCTCAAGGGCTGCTTTTTGATTTTCAGCAGCTCACCTGAAATTGTGGAGAACAGTAGTAGCTGGTGGGTAAGAATAGAGGCTCAGGCAGCAGGGTCACTACCAGTGAGGACAAGAAGGAAGATTCCCAATAGATAGGAAAGTCACAGGAAGAAGACTCTGAGAGATAACGAAGATTAATTTGGGTCAGGGAAGGCGTAAAATTTCTTTTTAACTCCCTATGGCCTCTCAAGAAAAATGAAACTTGTCTTAAGTGGTCTCTTCTGGTTTCTGATTCTGTTTCCACTATCCTCATGTGGTTGGAAAGCTGCAGCAGTTACTCTAGTCAGATCAGGATTAAAATTGCAGTCAGGGTGATTATATTGTCACTCTCCAATCTGTCCACTTAAAGAAGGACAGTCTTGGTTTTTGGTTAGTGCCATTATTGCCTTGTACAAACAGATTGAAATCTGAATTAGCAGGAAATGAGCAGGAATTTATCAGGTTAAAGGACTAAGAATGATTTAACTAACTATCCATCTCTCTACTCACAGGGCAGGTAAGATCAAAATCAGCTCTATGGAAAATTCTTAATAATTTAAAAACATTGCCTATTAACTTATATTAAGCCATGTGAACAATATAGACACTTGGGAATTTAATGCTTAAATACTGAACAATCAGATACTTTAACAGTTGATTGTTTCTCACTGTTCATTTCATTCACTTTTTATGGCAAGTTTCTGTCGGCAAATTGACCGATTCATTTGCTTGCATAACATCAGTGACTTTCCTTCAAGAAGTAATGCAATAGATGTGAAGCTCTTTGGATTCTCCTTAGAGTATGATTAAATAAACGAGGGTCTTTTTCTTTCTGTAATTTGGACTTTCGCAATATGACAACAAAATATTTATTTTCTTCTTTTAAGTTAAAATAATGCAGCAGTTATACCAAATTCAACTCAGACCCTTTCTATTTTCAGCTAATAAATCTTACCAGACTATTTGGAATCCAACAGTTGTTTTATTTTGAATGTTCCATATTAAATTATGATTAGTGTATGGTCTTAGAGCAGAATACCACTTTAAGTCAACTGTTGCAGCTGATCTTTAATGGAAGGTTTGGAGACATGAGTTAGATGATGAAGGTGAATGACAGGAGCTGTTGTTTTCAGTGACTGTTGGTGCAATTATCACTACATGACTGGACTGATCCATTACTTATTGTATTGCTACAGTATAAATAGTTGCTCAACTTTACCCAGGTTTCAGTTCTATACTGTGGTTCTGGTTGATGTCAATTTTTTAAATAAGAAGCTCAGTGTAATTTACTCAGAGATAATATTGTGGAAATACCGAAACCTAAGCTTTCGAGTGCCCTAGGAAATGTTTTACTAAATTGTGATCCACTTATCTTGGGGAAAGGTTCTCAGAAGTGGAATCTAGACCTTTTTCTGATTGAACTGGTGCAAGCAGCAGGGCATTTGGGCAACCTTTGATGAGTGGAAATGGTACAAAATTATTAACTGCAGTCAATATTAAAAGGGATTGCTTGCTATGTGGTGTAAGCAAGACTTCCAAAATGCTTCTAATGCAGGCTTCTAATGTAATTGCTATGGCTTTTCATACCTAATTGAATTGTGACAAGCACATGACTGGCTTCCAGAGAAGAATCATGGTTAGATCAAAATTTGTGCAGAGTTAAAAAAAAGCGATATTCCGATGTAAATTTACAATAGTTCAGAAGAATAAAATTCTTAAAGGTCCTGAATAATTGGAACATTCAAACTTCTAGTTTATTGTATGATAGCAATCGTGGATGAGTTACATTAGTAAGAGAGATATTGTTGCTAGGACTATTGAGAAACCTAGGATAACAGACTAGTTCTATAGGTGATCCTATGATGTCAGTCTTTCCCCAGTCAAGTCCTTAGAATATCAATAGGGTGGAACTTGATTCTGTTTTGTGGTTTACTGTATATGTTTGTCTGCAAAATACATAACACAGTTGGGTTCTTCTTGAGTCAGATGTATTAAGTTTATTTACAATGCAAATATTTCACAAGGCTACAATATCACAGACTGACACGTGGTTTGGTTTCTATGCTTATTGATGTTGTTGTACTTTACACA